AATAATCAACGGAACTAAACATTTAAGATTTCAGTGTTTTTACCGAGTTTTTAATTTAGCCTCACTCTTCATTTATTGACTATTTAAAAACTACAGAACAATGAATAACAGTACTAACAAAATGTAATTTCCGTTTATCTCGATGGCAGCCTGACAAGTAATGAAATTCAGAGCTTGAAGTGGAATGCATCTTGTGTATAGTTGCAGGCCATTATTAAAATCAGGAAATAATGACATTAAAAATGAATGATGTTCAGTTTCTTTGATCAAAAAACGTATTTAATTTCATAAAAGCTGCAGGTGTGGCTACAATTTCTAAACGACAGACTGTGTTTTGCTTGGAAACAACATAAGAAAGTAAAAAAATATGGACAGCAATTTTAACCTAAACAATATTTGTCTTCGCCAGCAAATACATTTTCAAGCGAACGCCTTCCGTGCGATTGCAGTTTTCTTGGTCAGCATTCCCCTCTGTGTTATGACTCTACTTGGAAATGCTGCGATTTTGATAACAATCTTCAAGACTCCATCCTTACATTCACCAGCTCATATTTTATTGGCAGGCCTTGCTTTGTCAGACTTTGCCTTTGGCTTCATTGTACAGCCCTTACTTTTGTCGATTGTACTCTCTGCAGGATATAACCATGATTTACCACTAGCAACGTTTCGTCTGATGTGTTCAAGCTTCAACTGTTCGGCCATCGTTTTGTGCGGAGTTTCTCTGGGGACCAGTATCGCAATTGCGTTGGACCGACTACTTGCTCTCCGCTTACACTTGAGATACGCTGTCATAGTAACTAAGTTTCGTGTTATCGTGGTTTTAACATGTATTTGGTTGTTTCAGGGATTTTTCATACCAATATATTTCTGGCAAGTGGAAACCTTTGGCAGATTTATAGCCATAAAAATTTGTGTAGTTATAGTGGTAAACTTCGCAATTTATTTAAATATCCACCTCATCGTGCGACATCATCAGATCCGAATTCAGTATCAACACCCCGAGCAACTGGCCAACATTTTCAGCCTAAAAAGACTGAAGAACTCAGCTTTGAACACTTTTCTTGTATTTATTTTCCTTCTCGTTTGTAGCTTGCCTTTCCTTTATGTCTACTTTAATGACAGGGTTTCCATAACAATTCATTATATTGCAATAGCAACAATTTTTCTAAATACATCTTTCAATCCCTTTGTGTATTCCTGGAGACTTCGTGAAATACGTACAGCCACAAAACGTATTTTCTGTTCGTAAAAAAGAACATAGGGTACGTATTAAAATTCTTTTTATTTTGGGGGGGGGGGAGGTGGTGTCATTAACTTGATGGCGGAAAAAATAAAGGGTAATGATGCATAGCTTTCTGTAAAAACCATAATTTGTGTGGTAGCGTAGCTACGTGTTCCCGGGGGAGGAACTCCGCATATAAAAGGGGTGGTGATGCTCGTCGTCTCGCTTAGGGGTGTAAATTTCGGATTTTGGTCTCACTTAGGGTGTTCTGAGCAAAACGCCATCATATTTAGCCGTGAAGGCCTTGTTTAGGGCTGCATGTGAAAAAATATAAAAATATGTGTATTGTCTGTGTTTTAACATGGTCTCTTTTAGGGGTCAAAAAAAGCTTGGGCCACGCCCCGATCGGCCTCTTTTAAGGGTTTAATTCAAAATTTCCGACGAGAATCCCCACCCCTTTCATATGCGGAGTCCCACCCCGGGCACGTGTTGTCTCTTAGCAAGCCTAGAACTACTACCTATGGACAACACTGTTTTTCATTTTTTCTCCGCCAAGCAATAAAATGCTCTTGAACAGTAGTTTTCTTGAGACGTACAAAAGTCTTGATACATTTGACTAGTTTCACGCATTTGTATTACAACAGTTTTAGATATCTTATTTTTTTCTTTTCGAAGGCAGTCGAACCTCTCGGCACGGACACCTTTCTAATACGGACAGTTTCCAATGTCCTGGCAAAATTCTCATATATTTTCTTTTAAAAAAACCTCTATAGACTCTATAATACTGACTTTCTCTAATACAGACAACGGACACTAAATCTCGGCCCCAGAGAGTAAATTCAACTTAACCTCTTTATTATGGACCAACACTTTCAAATTCCAATTCGATCTGGAACGCACGGACACGTTTCAACGAGTTCTTATGAACTCCTTAGTGATCCGTGGGTAAACAAATTACAATTTACAATGGACAGTGCGGTGATCAGGTGAATCCCGAATCCCAATGAGGTGAATCTGCACAGGATGAATCCACTATGCAAGGTGATTTCAAAAGCCCAGTCGCTGTATATCAAACAAGAATTTGGGAAAGATGTACAGAGGAACATAACCGACTTATTTAAGGCTTGAATGACTACAGATAGCATAAAGATCTTTTTTATTGCATTTTGCTCTCTAGTTACTGTTTACTGCACTTAAAAAATAGCGAAAGACGCTTTCAGATTTGTTCTTTACCTTACAACTTTTTACATGCAGCATTGCGCTGTAGCTCGTTTCGTTTTGAAACAGTGATTTGTCTACGACTGTACTTACTTTGTAGCTCACTGATATACAATGTTGTATGCTACTAAAAGACAGTGCCTTTGTACTGTGAATTAATAAATTTAAATTAACTTTGTGGTGAAATAAAGGTTATGTATGTATCTTGGACCCATAAATAAAATGCGCAAGAATGTTACTACTGTTTCAAAGGAATACATTCACTTATCTGTTTACCAAATGGCTATCAATCGGGTTGACTCCTGATCATAGTTGTTTAAGGAACCATAACGTCATGGCTTTCCTTAAACTTAGGCTACATTCACTATGTAAACCGCAAGTGGGTAGAGGATATTTTTTATGGGGTAATTTTGTTTTCATATCCCCCACATCATACAGAATATTTTGACACCCCCCTCCCCCTCCCCCCTTAACCAAAAGAAAAAGATGACAACCCCCAGTCTTAATTGAAAGGAAAGTAAAATATGGGCGATGTAATGAAATAGTGCAGAGATAAATGTTTAGAATAGAGACTTAAAAACAAAAGGTAAAAAAGTTATAGGGCCACAGATGTTCGTATTTCTGGTGTAAGTTTTAAAGGAAATTGTAAGAGATTTATGCCAACTGTGGTCGACAGTGGAAATTGCATTCCAGGGCCGAACATCCAAACACTACTCGATTGCGAGTTTTTGGTCCTTCAACTGTTAGAAGAGCAAAAATAATTTGATTTTAGGAAGCATAAAAAAAACAGTCCGTGTAAAAAAGCGTCATTGTTATGTAAAAAAGCTGCTCTTTTACAATTATGCGGTTGTAAAAATACTGTTTTTGTACAAAAATGTGTTCTTGTAAGAAAGCTGCTCTTTTATGTAAAAATCCTGCTTTTTTAACCCTAAATAAGGGTAAAAAATCTGCTTTTTACAAACATATATATCTGTAAAAAAGCTGCTTTCTTAGGTAAGAATTCTGTTTTTTTTTGTAAAAGAGCTGTTTTCTTACAAAAAATATTAAGGACTTTAAGATTCAACGACACGACAGCAATGAGAACGTCGCTTAAAAAGTGAATTTGCGTTCTTTCAGTCTTAATCGCAATTATTCCTACCCACTTACTTTGTCAAATGTAGGCGAACCCTCCTGGAATTGAATTCTTTCTGACCATATCCAAGTACAGAAAGAGAAATATAATTTCGTCGTTGCTTGTTTACGTCCACCATAAAACGCGAAATTAGGCATTTTCACGTCGTAGTCGTGCAAAAACGGGAAAAGAAATGTACAAAAAAGCGTGATGCACGTGCAAAGTTGATGTTCTGCTTACTGAATCTATTGGTTTTTTTTTTTTTTACGTTTTCTTTGCCGTCCGCGTCGTTGGATCTTAAAGTCCCTATTTTTGTGAGAAAGCTGCCTTTTTATGCAAAAATCCTGCTTTCTTTACACATATAAATTTTGCACAATAAGCAGCTTCGTCCTTTTCCGTGCAGGCCATTTGACAAACTCATTTATCGAAATGGCCGTTTTCTATACCATGGTTCAAACATTACTGAGCTTCTCAAACCATACGTTATTAGACATCCGCCTGGTCACGTTCACGCTCCGGTGTCCACACTATTTTGGTGTACGATTATGTTAAAAAAAGTTAAAGAAGATTAAACGTGGACAACGTTTGGATGATAAAAAAGAGATAAGAAACAAAATTTACTACATAAAACGTTTCGGTCAAAGGCCTTCATCAGTTACAAATAATAATACTTCAAACAAGACTCAGTATATACTCAGTACAACAATTACTAAATTAACACTAAATATACAAAGGTTACATAACAAGTTGAACAGAAAACAAAGGATAATAGTAGACAAAGGGTAAGTAGCTAATTTTTAAAAAAATGCAAATTACACAGCATAGAAATCAGTAAATTAAAGATACTATAGAATGAAGGTTACCTAACATATAGACGTTTAAATCAAAAGATACTAATGAGCTAAGAATAAACAATAACACAATATAGCTGTCAAAGCGCAATAGGTTCCAAATTCAAGGCCCCTGAAAATTCATAGGTGAATTATAGATCTAAAAGGAGGGTCAGCTAGCACACAATTGGCATACATGTGAAGGACGTTCTCTCGCTTATTCATAACTCAGGCGAATTAGAGGATAGACAAGAAATTGTAGTTTTTAGGGTTTTCAAAGTTTTTTCTTGCACCCCAGATATCTCTAGGAGGACTTCCCGAGCCGACCCAAATGGCACACACAAGAGATGACCCAAGGGAAGCAGAGGAGGTGGGTTGTTTGAGGCAGGTGTGCTTATTTTATTCGTGTTTTACTATTTATTTTTGATGGAAGATTTCCTTAGTTATCAGTTTCCTGTACTCGAATTGTTTTTTGACTCTTTTGTTTGGACCTTGACATCATTTTGTTAAGTTTTTGGAACACTGATGACTTGTAAGGGAATGAGCGCACGTTTAGTTCCTGTTACGTCCTTCTTTAGATTCAAAATTTACAAACACCGTTGATTATTTCACATTGTCACCTAACTTCAGATAATTTTGCTTTTTTCCTTCGGTATCAGCAGGGAAGAAGGTTTCGACTGCGATTAAATGCCACCATTGGGCCATCTGCGATGTCATCCACTGCAGCTGACTCAGGTAATTCAAACTCTGCCTTTGTATACTTACTTCTGCATTTCTTTCATTCATGGAGGAAAAACTGTGCACTACTGAATAAAATTAGTGACCATGGAGCACGTCGAAGCGGAAGAGAACATAGTCGTATTGTCATCCATTTTACTAAAACTCGCGCACCGGTTACAGAATATAGGTAGCAATGAATCATGCACCGGCGCGATCAAGTAATATTTACGACAATTATAATTATTAAAGTGATTTTCTTTCTGTTGGTAGCATATGGTGCCTTCTGGTCTTGATTCAACCCACACATTCGGGATATTAAAGTTATTCGAGGCAGCAACCTAGAGGAAGTACTCCACGTATACAAAGAAAGCGAAGACGTGGTGGAGGATCACCTACAAGTTTGCTTCGTTGGTGAGGACGGAATAGATGTCGGTGGTCTAGATCTGCTGAAGAATATGATCTGCTGTGTTTTGGGAAAAAGCATTCACGACCTATTTCACAGGGGAAAACGTGTTTGTTCCTTTTCTGCCAGTAGCAAAGCTACATGAAGCGAATCGAACTTACCCCCTCTTGGGTAGGATTTTGTCTCTATCGACAGCACTCCACCAAACCATACCTGTACGTTTTTGTAGGAGCACTTTGCTCACTCTCCTTCACTCTCCATTAGAAGCAAACGAAGA